TTCTCTTTACCTCCATTGTCTTTTCATAATTTCCTCTTCAGCTCGAGGATGATTTGTTCCTACATTAGGCTATTCCTGATGATAGTATTGGGCCAACGGAAATTGAGAATGTTACGTACACAGATGTTTAGAAATATTTGTACTGCTGAAAATTTGAAATCATTATGTGGATGGTGAAAAGTTAAATGTTGACTTCAATACAAACCACTAGGATGATAATTTTTGACGAATATTTTCATTAAAAAGTTTTCTACACTTTGTACTGAAATCCATAATTTCCGTAATACTGTAACACTAAATTCATATTTATACTTGACTGAGATTTTTCACTATTTATTTCTTATTTCACTTTTTCTTTTCTGATATTTCTAGATTTGGATGTGTGGTGGTAGTTTAGAAACGATGGTTTCTAGTCATGGTGGACATATTTTCCATAGTCGTTCAACATATAGTTGGGCAGTTAATCGTAGTAACATCTTTAAAAAAAATCTACTTTGTCTAGCCAAGGTTTGGTTTGATGATTAGGTATGTGTCTAATATCACATAGATCAGAAGAGTGTTCATTATTTTGTTCAATGTGTAACACCAACAGTTTTTTGATGATCTGACCAATTTTTCTATGTTGACATTCAATGTCCAGTGTAATTTGTTCGTATTTACTCGATGTATTTCAAATACAAAGAAGTAGTTGAAATCATGAGTCAGTTGAAGCTAGACCACCATAGAAAACCTAGAAGCACTGGATGGCCGTTTTATCCTAGTATGGGACTCCTCAACAATGCATAGTTGAGGATTGAAATTTAAACATTTTATAAATATCTTCACACCATTTAGAGTGAGTGATTGTTAATAACATGTTTAAGTAAACGTTTTGTTTTGCAGAATCTAATTAGATCTTAGCAGTTAATTACGTAATAAGACCTTTCGTCTTTCATTGATCAGTTTTTCTCAGTTTTTCTTTAAAAAAAATTAGTACTTTATTCATGTACAAACAAAGTGTATTTGTTTTGTAGGATATAATTAGCTCATAGTCACTGATTAATTAATGTATTTTTTTCTATCGACATTTGGTTGAATATATATTGATTTGGAAACGTTTGTAACAGTATAACATTTATGAGTTTATTTGATACACTTCCGAAAGTATTCAAGAATACAAAGAAATAGTTGACAATTTAAATTTGAACCGAAAATAATGAAGACAGTGGTGTACGGTGGCGAAACTTCGTGGATTGGTTGAAGTTAGACAATAACACCGTTGGATGCCGGCTCAGTGGTCTAGTGGTTAAGTGCTCGCGCGCGAAACCAGTGGGTCCTGGGTTCGAATCCTGCGAGTTCGTGGATGCGCACTGCTGAGGAGCCCCATACTCTAATGAAACGGCCGTTCAATGCTTCCAGGTTTTCCATGGTGGTCTAGCTTCAATTGACGCATTATTTCAACCTGTGAAATTTCTAAAACTCCCCACAAAACCCATTCTGATAATTATAGATATGTTCACACATTTCAGAGGAATTTGTAAACAATATATTTCTTAGAAGATATAATTAGATATTAATGATTTATTGTGTAATAAATGCTTCTTTCCTTTCTATATTTATTCTGTTTAGATTGATTTCGGTAACGTCTCAGAAGCAAAGCCTTACGAGGAAAACTGAAATGTCACTCATTTGATTGGTATCTTGAATTATTTGTTCCTTCGTAAGCTTTAGCTTCTGGTGATGTAAGTTTTATTGTGTCATAAACATTTTTCAGTATGCGGAATTGTGGAGTTTGTACTTTCACAGTTGAAATCACGAGTCAACCTAAGCTGGACCGCCAGTGAAAACCTAGATACACTAGAAGGTCATTTCTTCCTAGTACAGGACTCCTCAACAGTGCGAATCCATCAGCCTGCACGCCAGATGCAAACCCACAGCCTTCGGTCTCGCGCGCGAACGTTTAACCTCTAGACCATTAAGTCGTCTAGTGCTTCCAGGTTTTCAATGGCGGTCTAGTTTAGATCGACTCGTGACGTCAGTTGTGAAAATACTAAAATCCCCACAAATCCCCCATTACTGATAACAATCATTCGCTCACTGGTGATTAGGTTCAAGATGTAACTCCTTGAGTTCTAATAAGAAGTCGTGACCAGTGGAGTCGAATTCGTGTTGGGTGTGACACAGTTCTCTACCTCAGGTAATGGATCAAGGGTTGTGCAAGATCAGGGATTGATCGAAGTTAGACATTTAGAGCACGGGGCCCTGGCTCATTGATCAAGAAGTTAAGTGTTCATGTACGAGCCCAAATGTCCTGGGCTAGATTTCTGTATACGGGATAGTGGACCCTCATTTCTAAGCAGTACCTTACTGACACGAACTAGTCGTTCATTGCTTCCAGGTTTTCAATGATTTTCCAACTGACATTCTTATAAAATTCAACAAACTCCGGAACCCCATACAGTTGATGTCAAAATGACTAGTGTTCAGTGTTAACTTGAATAAGCTTATACCTTATATGAAACAGTGAGATTAATGATCAGATAAAATACGGGTGAGATAGGGTGAGAGAAATAATAATTTAATTACTAATCCGATCCACTGTTTGGTGGAAGACCGTTGTGCGTAATGTGTGGTCAGTACTAAGCCGATTAATTATGCTTTTGGCAGACTAATAGTGAGTCTAAATCATTAATAATATTATTGATAACTATAATAATAATTTTAATAATAGTAATATTATAATTATAATAGTAGTATTATCCAAAAATGTAGATAAAAATAACAAGAATGTTTGACTATGAAAGGTTTTATAGACATTAACCAAATTAGTTCATTATATAATTAAGCTTAGTATTGATTTACTGGTTTGAATAGGGTAAGAGAAGCGATTGGACATACTTCCTCTCGATACAGACGTAATTAGCAAAACGTTTGTTACGTGTCAGATAATAATCGTGGTTACGTAAGAGTAAAGTGGTAAGCATAAAAATTATATAAGAATACTAAAAATAGAAGTCTTAAGAAAAAATGAACATTGAAACAACTGTGGTTTAAATTTATTAACGTGTGTTTGTAAATGGACACAATCAATCATCTTCATTTTGAGGTTCCAGATTTTTTGTTTCAAACGGAGTGTCTTTTGACGGAAATCATGTTTATATTTGATGATTTGTCAATCATTTTTCTGATTTTCTTAATCTAATCAATGTTTTTCTTCGGTCACATTCGTTCAAATTGTTTTGTATCCTTTGTTCATTCGAACGCATAAAACTGTGTTCAAATTCTCTCAACTTTCTTTTTAATAATATAAGTCTTTGTGAAGTGAGATGTTTTGCAATAGCCATATATGAATTTTGTATTTTTGAAAACAAATGGAATGGACAAATCAGTGACATTAAACTACTTATGTCAGATTAAACAAAATGCAATAAATGTATTGCAAAACTGTCACATGCTTGTAAAGTAGGAGAGAGTAGATGTTTTGATTCAATGGAGTTTGGAATTGTACTGTGGACCGTTAGTATTGAGACTTTATGTTTTACTTAAAAGAATTTCAAAATTTAAGTGCTTATGATTTGTCATTTTGCAATGGAGACTAATTGGTTCATATTGGCACCATAAGCTAATCTTGCGATTTCAAATTGTGTGATGCATAGTTTTGGCATGTGCTGATATCATGGTTTGGTATTAATCTTTATCTTACTTTCAAAAATTTATATAAACACGCAATCTGATCAAATAGTGATGAGTGGTAGTTTAACTTAGATCAATTCAGGATTTCAATGAAATTCAACCATATATATGTTGGTGTTGTGATTCTGATGCCGATTTTTCAAAGTTGAAGTCACGAACTAACCGTAACTAGACCACCATCAGTAATCTGGAGGCACAGGATGGCCCTTTTGTCCTAGTGTAAGACTCTTTAGCGATCCGTATTCAACATAGCTGGGACGAATTACTTAATACCGCTATCGAATATGTTGATAATATATACAGCATAATGAAAAGTTGAATCAACATACCAGTTTCTATTTAACACGTATAAATTGTTTACATTAGCACATATATACTCAAGGATATGGGAAATTATTATTTTAAATTCATATGAATGAGTTTAAAATTTATGAGTCTCAGAAATTACTAGTTACTCGTAGACTTCTTAAAGTTAAATTCTGTTATTTGTAACCTTATGGTGTACTGAACAGAACACAATTGGGGATAATCGGATGTACTTGATAGGAAATTACAGAGCATTTAAGTAAAATCTGCGAATCATATAATAAACCGTTAATTTGCATAATATTACTCCATCATACCAAACGTGAGTGTTCCTATTGGAAACATCAATCTATTGCCTCAGAGTTTATTGTTCATGCGTTTTCATACCAATTGCGTTCCGTTCCCGTCCTTTCCTCATCGACCTTCTATTGAAATACATTCTATGCCTGACCACCGTTATATACTACTTGTGTGGATATAAGTAACCCACACCACAATGATACCTAATATTATTCATATAAATTAATTGTCGGAAAAATATATTACCAGAATCTTGATTACCTATAAATCTTAAAGAAGGTAAATATTAAAAGGTATTTCATTTGCTAAATAACATGTTATGTCAATTACAACAATAGTCATAGTCCTGGCCATATTTGAATACTTATCATGCCAACTGTGAACAATATCTTGTAAGCTGTCTTCCTGAAGAAACTACACTTTTCTCAGAAAACAAAATGATTTGTGTAACACTGGAGAAAAATAACAGCTTAAGTGGATGCTTTAGATTTTCTTAAGTTCTTTCAGATAAATAGTGTAATGCGCAGCTTTCATTTCTGTTCTGGACTATGTCAAAAGTTATTCATCAAGTTTCGAATAAGTTTGTCCTGGTGGCTATGATTTTAATTTATTCGTGCTGCACATGCATATACTAACACACCTTTATGTCAGCCAGCACTCAATTATTACAGACATATGTAATAATTTTGTATTTCAACGCAGTGTTCATTACATAATGACATCCACTGAAAAATGGCTGATATAATATTGAACAGACATTTTATCTAGGTGTTTTCATTCCAGTAATTATACTGAGGATACTAATAATGTACATTATCACAGCTCTTGTCACACAAAATACTCACTTCACTATTCTGTTATTGCGGATTGAAAATGCTGCTGTTCTTTATTGTTTAGATGCCTCAATGCCAAAGAAGAGAAATCGCAAATTTGTTATAGTAAAAGAGTGGCTATGTTATAAAAAAGGTGGCAACCAAGTAAGTTAATTTTGTTGACGTAATTTACGCATTAATTATTGTTAAACTATGCCTCAAATGTCATTCTTAAATTTTATGCTGACAGACTGTACAACTAATTCCACAAAAGTGAATACATAAATCAAATGTTCAACCTGCAAGAATTCTTAGAATCATTTCATAATCCATATCCATTTGTTAGTTTTACATGTAGAGAAGAAGAGGATAATAAGATGACGTATCGCTTGACGTTCATTTCTTTGAGATGGTGGAAAAGTTCTTTTTAAAAGATTAGATGCTTCAGTTAAAAGGAATGTGTTTGAAAGAGAAACTTGGATGGAGCAGTATAATCGTTTCCACGACGTCACACCTTCCCAACATAAAATTGATCCAGTTAAATACCTTAAGTAACCAATACGCAATAAGGACAAGGAAGACTGATACTTTATCTCTCAAGGTTAGCCCAATACTAACTTACCCCGAACAGAGTGGAGGAACGCAAACCAATGCTCACTAGTCCAATATCTTTACTATATTTCAGACATTCATTTATATACCTACGAGGTCGGACTACGCAGCAGAGAAATCGAGCAACAGTGTTAACATAGAATGGCAACATTAATGATCGGAAAAACGGAGTACTGTGTATACAAGAGACGGGTTCTAATTTATAAGTGAAAAATTCTACGGCAACATTTTATGGTTCAAGTAAAACTTTATAACTAGGGTAATACGAAAATAATAAGATCAAAATACTTGATATTCATGTGGCCAATATATAAATGAATAATATAGTAGAAAAATAGCAACGAAAGTTTATACCTCTTGCAATACCATCCTTTTTTGAAAATCATTGGTAAGACATGTCATTAGAGTTCATTTATATCCTCGTTGCTTTTTTTTAATCTGTTGTGATCTTCTTAAGGATGCCTTAATTCTTTTATCCAGTATTCAGAGGCTTATGGATTTTTGCATTGTTTTCGTCCCCTTCTACGCATCTAGATGGTTGTATGTGGCTGATGTGCTTTATCCATTTTACACTGCCAACCCTGACTTCATAGATGATTTTATCTCTATTGCGTAGAACAATTCCGTGTACCCTACCGGTCTTAAGACGATGAAAATTAAGTATCAGAACCAGTTATCCTGAAGAGGATCTTCTGGGATTTTCTCCAATCCTCTCGCTGTGCTTTTTCTCCAAAATAATTGTTAAACATGTAATCAATATATATGAAAAGTATTGTAGAAACATGGCTTAGAAATTTTTTACCTCCCAGTTTAGTCGTCTCTTACCAGAAAGATATTAATGAATCCCTGTATTTGGATCCTGAATACACGTTTCGGAGAAGTAGTGTGCATAAATGGCGCGAGAGTCTAGAGTTCTAGCCAAAAACACCTGTTATCCTATCTGACACAAGAGTAAAACATTAAAGATATACGTGAAGGCTTAGTCAAGAAGGTAAAAGAATTATTAAGAAGTGAGGGAGTGATTCGATTATTAACAAGATGATCTTGAGTGCTATTAGAAGTATGAGAGCGGTTGTCACTTCTCAACTGTCCACACCGTTGAAAGATATTTCTTTTTGAAGGACCTGAAAAAAATCCGAATTCATGGTGGTCCTAGTGACATGGGAATGTGACCACAGAGCCCCTGAGACAACTGGTGGAATGTTTTCGATTTGTTAGTTCCGCATTTCGAGAGGCTTTATCTCCTGAGACAATTCTGTGAGTTAATGTGAAGTGTGAAGATTTTTGGTGGATACTTTGAAGCCCTTTTCCTCCGTGGAGAGAAAGCATCATCGCTCAAGATGCTGGTTGTTTGTGGAAAACAACTTACCGTTCTCACACCACTCTACAGTCAACAGTATGATTTTTCCTTTGGGCCTTAAGTTGTTGATTTCAGTTTTACGGTTCTCTAATCGACCTGCTTTTGATGGAAGGATCTAAGTGGAGATGTGTTACAGCCGACAGAGCTCGGTTGAGTCATCACGATAAGCAAGCCTGACCACCAAGTCAAAATAGCAGATACGTAAATTTGTCGAACAAGCAAATACTAACGCAGCAAATCGGGATAATGTACTCATTATGAGGTCATCTGTATGTCAGAAGGGTCTTTGTGGATATTATAGTAATTCTAACAGTTGAGATCATGAGTCAATTAAAGATAAACTACCATGGAACACCTAAATGCACTGAACGGCCGTTTCGTCCTATTATGGGACTCCTCAGCAGTGCGCATCCGTGGTTCCTCAGTGACAGGTGGAGTTCAACCGGGTCTGTTGTGAGATAGTGAATCACTGAAGACAATAGTGACTGTGTCATTCAATTTCTTGGATTAGTTGAAGTTAGGCATTAACACCATTGGATGCTGGCTTAGAAGTCTAGTGGTTAAGCGCTCGCGCGCGAGACTGATAGGTCCTGAGTTCGAATCTCGTGAGGTGGGATCGTGAGTGCGCACTGCCGGAGTCTCATAATAGGACGAAACAGCCATCCAGTGCTTCCAGACTTTCCATGGTGTTCTATCTTCAGTTGATACGTGATCTCAACTATTAAAATCTTCTATATGTGTTAATCAATTTATTGACTGCTCCCGGCTGTACTCAAAAGTCCTTATCCTTACACACTTGTGAGCTCGTACTGGTATGTTTATTAAGTCGCAATATGAAATTTCAATAGTTTCATTCTTTGCCACTTAAATGACTATGGTCATAATATAAAAATCGAACATGCCTTCACAGTTGTATATCGATATCCTGATTGTTTACCAAAGGACCCAAGATAACGCTTATTATTTATAGCTGAAGCAATAGAAATCACTTCAAAGAAACCTATCTTATGTATACAAAGGCAATAAATACATCCTTCTTGTTTACCTTGCCACAAATTAAAATCGTTTCATTCTTAGTTGCAATTGTGTCCATCCCTTTTCATTTTGATTTACACTCATTTCCAAGACGTTTATTAATGTTAATCATACATCCATCTTTCTTATTTTACGCGTTGCTCTTAATAATATTAACAGTAATATTTTTTATGTCATCATTATAAGAAATATTATTACTGTGATGGCAACTGCGACACAACAATTCTTATTTTGCGTCAAATTGATTTTGCATACAATCTTATCTCATTTATGAGAACTCATCATCATAATTAAGACATATAATTATACTTAACCTTTATGTATAACGTTTTCTAAATAATATCGGTAATATTAGTTTTTTGTCGATAATCCGTACTATTTATGACTTGATCGAGGTGACATTCACCATTGTCAAATCGTAACAGGGATAATTTTAACTTCAGAATTTTGCTTTATAACGAAAAGTAGTCGTCCCGGATTTTTACTACCTCTACCACTACGGGATTTGAATCGACAATTGCATCTCCGTGCTAATGTGGTATGGCAACTCGAATTGATGTACGTACGTACGAAGTTCTACGTTGATACTGACTGACGCCCTAGATTTTTAACTGCAGGGCTTAATGAGGAAAATATCAGAGACGACCGTTCGTACTAATACTCTCTATTTTTGCATAAGCTAAAGGTGCAAATGTAGTTGACCTAAGTTGTAGTAGTAAGTTTGACAAATGCTAGTTCCACCAAGATGAAAATATGGATTTCATCTGTAGGATAGGATTTTAATTTCCGGAACCGTATAGGATATTTTATCCAACCTAGCCGAGACCCACTGAGTGATGGCAGCCTATAGTTGTTTAGAATAGTTTTTATAGTTCAGAATTGATATAACCCACCTAGTCACGTCCTTGACATTGTTCTGATTCGCGCAATATGATTTAAGTATATGTGAAATGCTTTTGTGATTAAAACAACAAACAAAAAAGCATTTATTGCTGCTTCCAGATTTAACAATCTCTAGCTTGAGATCAGTACAAATCTAACTAAATAACGAAATGATAGATAATGTGAACGGTATTATGGGGACAAATCTTGCTAATAGAAAGTTGGCCACTTAAATAGATACATTTGTGTTTCATCCTATATATTGTGCTGTATCCGAAGAAGATTAACTTATGGGTATTTTCGGAGAACTATTAATGGTTTGTTATTATACATATATTCTTACTGTAAAACTATTAAGTAACTAGATTATATTTATATATCATATTATAAGCTATTTAATGCCATTATACTATTTACTATTCTTGAGTTATCCCTAATCTAATAGTTATGGTCTCTCACACTCACAGCCAATTTTGGCTTGATCATATATAATTGTTATTTTCCATTTTATGGTATGATGCGGTTTGATTTGCTTGTTTATAAACTACGTATGTCTGAAATACATGATTCATTCAGTGAAAGCTGGGATTGGGTTCTGGACTCAATGAGCAGGGCGAAACAAGAGGAACCAATAAGGATTCAAAGTTGGCTCTAGGATGCTCGTTTTGCGTAGTGCCAAGATCATGTAAGTCGGTGATCGAAGTAGTGCTTTAGTCACATGATAATTGACGGGGCTTAGGACATGAAAATAAATAAATGAATGACTGAATAAAAGAATAAGCAGGTAGACTAGTCTATTTTCAATTCAACAACCATTTGTTAATAGTAGAGCTGAAATATAACTTTCAGCGAGTTACCGGTTGTTCTTTCCGCCCCATTTTGAACTCATCAACTCGATACGTATGTATCACCGTATTAATATTCGCATTAAAACTTGGACCGAGTGGTTATCGTCTCCATTGACAACATATCCATCCACCAAGTTATTAGGTTCAGGTATTCACTATCTTGTCGAATAGTTATCGATGTATTATTAACGGTTTATTATTTTCCGTTGCTTTGTATTCAGAACTGCAATTATTCAGTATCCATTTGTTAAAGTAACAACACAAACTGACTATTAGTATAAGGGCTGTGAAGATTATTAAGTTTTTAATTGAGATCATGAACCGATTGATTTTAGACCACTTTTGGACACCTGGAAGCACTGGACAGCCGTTCCGTCCTATTGTGGAACTCCTCAGCAGTGCGCATCCACGATCCCGCTAGAGGGATTCGAACCCAGGGCCTTCGGTCTCGCGCGCGAACGCTTAACTTACTGGACCACTGAGCCGGAATCCAAACTGACTATTCCTAATTTACAGTCTCTTCGTTTTACAAAGTAACAAAAATCATTTTTTATATAAAGCAGAGATGTTTTAGAAAACAAAAGATTCAGTATTACATAATCTTACGAAAATTTGATTTACTTATTTCGTAATTCAGTAGTTATTTGTCAATCAAATAACAAACAAAAAATTCGCAATATTTTTAAATGACATTTTTTTTCTATTCGTCGTCTACATAAGTCACTTATATACTACTATACAATTTCATTAAATGTGTCTATCTAGTTTTAGATAAGTTGTAAAGGGGAAAATTGTAGAGAGCAAACGAAATCCTATTTCTGTATGTATACATAATTGTGTGTATGTGTTTCTGACCAGATGTCTATTACATTTTAGTACTGATCTGAATTTAATCTAATCTACAGTCGTCAATTGACATTTTAATATTGTTTATATCACTGCATAGAAACATTTTAAATATTCATTCGGTTTCACAATCACTTGTTCATTTCATTTATTATTTAAGAATACGACACAATTATTCAATTAGATGGAGATTTGTAGCTCAGGTGGATGATTTCAATAGAGTTTTGTTCTCTGAGCTGGATGGTGGAGAAGATTTGTAGCTCAGGTAGATGATTATGATAGAGTTTTGTTCTCTGACCTAGATGGTTTAGCCGTGGGGCTTTCATCGTTCTTCTGAACGACATCATCAGCACAAACTTCAGATAGAAGTGAAGTGTTCGAATTTCTCCATATGAGTTTCACAGCTTGTTCTGTGCACCTCGATGTTGATTGGTTCTTGTTGATTTTAAATTTATCATTGTTTACTTCTTTGTTTTGGTTATGTCTCCCATTGGTTTGATTTTTGTTCCTATATTTGTGCATGATTTTCCTGATTGGTTGGTAAATTGGATTGATTTCAATATGCTTGTTGATTGCTGATTGACCTGAGTGCCAGGCTTCCGAAAATCCTCTGGTGTTTTTAGAGTTTCCTCTGTCTAAGATTTCCACATTTTTCCAATCGAATGAGTGTCCGCAGTTGTCCACGTGTGTTGATATAAGTGAAGAGATATCATGGCGTTTGACTGCTAATTTCTGTTCGTGTAGGCGAAGGTGAAGGGGGCGTCCGCTTTGTCCGATGTAGTGTTTCTCGCAGTTGGCACAATTTATTTTGTAGATTATGTTTGATTTGTCTTCCTTTGTTGTTTCATCCTTTGGTTTGCATAGGATTGATTGTGGTGATTTTGTTGGTTTGTGTGTCACACCTAACCCGAACGTTTTCAGCAGTCTCGTTGCGGTTTGTGATATTCCTTGTATGTATGGTAGTGTGATCCTTTTATTGATTTCTCTGCTTGACTTGGGTTCGGATGACGCGTGCGGTTGGTATTTTTTGATGAAGTTGATTGGGTAGCCGTTCTTTTGAAATATGTCCTTCAGGTATTTCTCTTCATTTTTTCGTGCTGCAGTGTGTCCTCCCCCTCTTGAAAAAAGTGCTGATGATGTCGTTCAGAAGAACGACGAAAGCTCCACGAGCAAACCATCCAGCTCAGAGAACAAAACCCCACTAAAATATTCAATTAGATACTCTGATCAGCTTTGTGTATTTGTAAATTGTGTTAAGTTTGATAAAATATTAAGAAATAATTACTGAAATATAACTATTTACCGATTGTAATAAACCTGATGAACATAATTATATCGTCTGTTAGATACATTTAGAAATAAAATAATGTTAAATCAATTGAAACTTTATTTATATGCCAAATATGATATTGCTCTGTTATAAATTGTACTTATTTTCAGTTTCTTATGATGATTTACGAGTTTCATTTTGTTATTTAGGGACTATCGATATTTGATAGTTATCTCTATCTGTTAAATAGCAAATTCAGGTAATCTAATTATGTTTACAGGTAAAATAACAAATCAATATTATTAAAATATACGATCAATGTATCGTCTGACAGAACGGAAACCAGCCTGCATCTTGCGAGTCGTTCTTTTCATGGTTTTGAACAATTTGCGAAGTAAGACAGAAGCCAATAGTTTGGACGCAATCGGAAGTAGACTTATCTAATAACACTTGTCGCAGAAACAATGTGAACTCTATTTAAAAATAAGAACAACTATCAACCCTATCGACGATGTTGAAACACTTTAATTGTTGGACATTTGTCAGTATCTCATTCAGTTCTTCAACCAGATGGTCACCACCATCTTTGGATAGGGCAGGAGTTAAGTCATCTGGGCCTGGTCGTCTTCGGCGCTTCAGAAACCAGAGATCCTTGCCAACTTCCGCTTTCCTAGGTGAAGCAGTCGTCACGGGCCATGGAGATCAGTACAATATGACCGATGTCGCTGGGGAGGCAGCACAGTTCATTGAACAACTCTCCCCATCATCCTAGACGTTGGTGAATGTTGTTGATTAGCACTCTATTACCTTCACAGATTGTTTCACTAACACCAAAGTTCTTGCTGTCAGTGACTCGGGTGAGCTGTAGGTTCTTCCGGCGGTAATCAGAAGCAGCTTCTACTTCGAACTCGTTAGCACGCTCCGAACACCAGGTATCTTGTTCCTTACTCAAGCTATGCACAATTTCATTAAATAACAACCTTTGTTTTTGATCACCTTCGCGGTCAAGAGGAGTAGACCGACGTGCTTCAGTAAGTTGCAAGGAATCTCAAGAAACCCAGTGTTTCACCTGTTTTAGTATCGGTCCTAACTATCAATTGAAACATTCAAACAACCAATACAAATATATTATGTATATTGGAGGTTTAATCAGCTGTTGATGATACTAATCCTTTTTTTCATTTTAACTTCATTCAGACACTAGTTTGTTATTCAGAGAATAGAGTCATGCAATTGTAAACTATGCATTAAGCATCCATTTACATGAGATCAATAATTACTGTTTTGTTTCTGCATACTGATTTTCCGCTTACGATTTCATAAACAATTTATATACTTTTCTATAGTAGTTCTGGTTACTACCACTACTAATAATGATATTAGACGAGATAATTACTGTTATGATTCTGATATTCATTGAAGCTGTATAAGTTTATTTCATAGTTGTAGTTCCAATGGTTATCGTGAGTTCATTTATGAAACAGTAAGTGTTTCTGATATTCATTTTCTGTATCCAGTGTCATTTTTATTTTAATTATTGATTTATTAAGAAACCTTTTTTATATGAGTAAAATCCTGTTTACTTATTTAAGTTCTCATTTATCCACTCATTTATCATTATAATACCAACGTTATTTGATTCACATTATCTTTGTATGCACGTAAAGAAAGACCTACCTATACCCTATCTAGTATATATACTATGTGATGAACAAGATGTTAAACTTGAACTTGTCAACAACTTGAATTCTTAAACATGTTTCTAATTAAAAGTTGTGCAGATTCTAAACATTATATTTGATTCCGCATAGTGTATTTACTTCATTTGTGTAAAAATGTAAAGAGTTATCGCTTTTTCCACTTTTCAGTTTGCAAAAGAAACTTTTTGAAATAATTTGTGTTCAAAAATCTATATTTTACTAAATACATAATACTGAATAGAGCCATTAATAATAATAATAATAAAAGTAATCTTGAAGGGATTGATTCTCCCTAGAGGATTTGTTCCTGTGTCATCCAACTTCATAGTCAGTGACATTACCATTGAACGATACAACTCACCACTTGTATCTCATTGTAATGCGTACGAGGTGAAATCACTTATATTAGTGCTCACATTGCAGCTTGTTTGATAGAATTCGATCAAAAATAAGACATGCACGACACTGGTCACTACTCATATATTGACCAATTGTTAATATACTGAGTCCATTTTAATTAAGACATGATATATATATATATATATATATATATATATAGAGAGAGAGAGAGAGAGAGAGAGAGGAGAAACTTTCACCAAAGTAAATAATTTTTTGACTTTTTTTACTCCAGCATCTCCAATAGAGCAAACTTCACGGATTTCAACAGGTTGTTTGAGTTCTGTTTATGTCTCAGACTGAAGTCACCAGTTTGGCATTTATAGGGATTGATAGTGAAACCATCACCAATAGACCATCGTTCAATGTGAAATAAAAACGCATTTATTTCAGGGTGATGTAAAGCGGTAGAAATCTTCATACATACAATAAGATCATCCGCATACTGAAGAAAGGGGTTTTCTATGAAAGATGACAAATCATGCAGGAAATCTGTGAAAATAATAGTAGAATCCTTTATATCCATCAACCCGGTCAAAGAGACGGATATTTGCTTTTCATATTCCCAATTTCGTAAACAACACTCTCGCCGCGAGAAGGCAGCGAGTAGGACATCCCTGACAGTGACTGTATATGTATGGCTATTTGAGAGAATTTCGAGAAGTAGTACAGACTCTCATTACCCTCGGCCGTACCAAGGTATTTGGAAGTAATCTAATTAAATTTACTCTTCAACAGAAGAGGTTTGATTTGAATAAAAAGTTGAATAAATACAAAGTGAGTAACATTAATCTATGGGAGATACGATTTAATATGGATAGGATGGGAATTAAGATAATATATCGATTCAGTTAGCATGAATGATCACTGTGAAAGGTGAATTGATAGATTTGATTTGTAGGAAAATATGAACAGGATAATAGTGCTTATTACTGTTTTCTGATTAATTAATTTGTTGAGAATTATTTTTTCAGAATTCTCCAATTAGTAGCTTTATGATTTATGAATATAATTTGCTCATTATGAAAAAGTTTTTTGTTTCCTGTTACTGTTTATATCAATATTTCCTAATATTTCTCTTTTAATTGAACGGTTTTCTATCGTTTAACTGTTGTAAAATACACTGATTGATTGCCTATCATTACAGGATGGTACTATTCATCATCGAGGTGAATGTCTAGAAATTGATGATGAAAATTCTAAAGTTCAACTTTCTGAATGTACTAGATCGTTAGAACAACAATGGACGTTCAACAGTAAACTATATTTTCTATCTGTGGATAAAAATGTACAGCTGTGATATTTTAAAACAAATGATTTTTACTTACTTTTACTTACGCCTGTTACTCCCAATGGAGCAAAGGCCACCGACCAGAACTCTCCAACCCACTCTATCCCACAATTCCTTCCTTTCCAGTTCTATCCAATTTTCGTTCATTCTTCTCATGTCTGTCTCCTTTTCTCTGCGTAATGTGTTCTTTGGTCTTCCTCTTTTCCTTTGACCTTGAGGACTTCAAGTGAGGGCTTGTCTTGTGATGCAGTTGGGTGCTTTCCTCAATGTGTGTCCTATCCACTTCCGGTGCTTCTTCCTGATTTCTTCCTCCGCTGGGATCTGGTTTGTTCTCTCCCACAGTACGTTGTTGCTAATAGTGTCCGGCCAACGGATCCGAAGTATTTTGGGTAGACAACTGTTAATCAACACCTGTATCTTCTGGATGATGGCTTTCGTAGTTCTCCAGGTTTCTGTCCCATACAGTAGAACTATGTTGACATTTGTATTGAAAATCCTGACCTTGGTGTTGGTTGACAGTTGTTTTGGGCTCCAGATGTTCTTCAATTGTAAATATGCTGCACTTGCTTTGCCGATTCGCGCCTTCACATCTGCATCAGATTCACCGTGTTCATCAATGATACTGCCCAAATATGTAAAGTTTTTTACATCTTCCAAATCTTCTCCGTCAATTGTGATTGGATTGGTGCATGCTGTGTTGTATTGGAGAATCATGTTACTACCAAATTTTTATATTGTTTACAGTTCAATTTAACATGTATATGTGTACTAGTAATGTCATTCATCAGATATTATTTTGTTAATTTGCTAAATAATATATGTCTCTCTATCCTGATGATCAGTCTTTCATATTATACAACAGTTACATTGTCAAAGATACATATAACAAATTTTATAAACAAACTATACACAACTTATTTCTTTATATTTCATATTTATAATTCTGTTAAATTATGATTTGACTTTATCATGAATATCTAATTTTACTCTACTTTTAATATGAACTCACCTATTCAGTGTTCAATAAATTGTATCACGAAACAATAGGATATGATTCGGTCACCTCGTTTCCAAAGATTACAATGGGAAAATGACTGATTGGTTTGTAATAATAACATATTTTGAAGATAATGATTACAGAATTTATGCCAGTTTACAGATATGATCCGTTTGATACAGATAGTAATATTAATTGTAGGGAATAGATATGTAACATAAGACTGTTTTAAGTTGTCTAATACAAAAATTGGTTATGTGGTATATTACTCACACATGTGACATTAATGAAAGGCATTAGCCGGTAACTTTTCAGTATTTTGAAGTTAACATCTTTATTGTGTTGACTTACTCGACGTCTGAAACATTTTTTTCGTAAGATAATCCAGGTTACATTGCAACATGAATTTACTTAATAGATAACGTTATTTAACAAGCTGGCGATATGTAATCGGACGTCGATATATTTTCCTAGATTACAACACTCGTAAAATGCTTGGCGTTTCTAAGATCCATCTTCAAAATGTGATGAAACAGTTCACAGGAACAAGTCTAGATAACATGCTGCACTGAAAAGAACAAATTCAGAAATTAAGTAGATGTATCAAAATGGATTACACATATCACTTTCTCGAAATCCACTTTACGGAATTTTTCGTTTAGCTTTCCTTTTATATTGAGTATTTATCTACTTAACAGTCAACAAATGACGTCCCCTTGGTTAATATCCTTGTGCATTCCCCTATAAGTATGCGGTTGCATCGCAATTATGTACTTCAGTAGTTTTTTGTAGTCTTTGGGACTTAAAAAAATATTGTGCCATCAACTTCACACTAAACTAGGTTCAAAATATTTGACGATCATATTGAAAAAAAGCTGTTAATTTCAAATATGCTAAAATAGCATGCTTTTACTTTAATTGGTACCATTGCCAATCAAAGATCCCTGTAATAATAAATTAAAGTACATTTCGGAAATTTTTTAAAGTATGAATAACTGAGATAAAACTAAATCAAAGTGATGACTTAAAAAATTTGTTTTCTTCCTTATACCTAAATGAGTAGCGAAAAGTTTTTTTTATTATAAAGTAATCATCGTCCGCAATCAACAGCAGAATGAGCTTCAATTAAACAGCCACTACATACACAAACTGTCTAGATAGAACCGACAAAGTCTAGAGAAATGTAACAGAATAATGGGAAGATGACAACAACACGTTCCTAATCCCGGCATACTCACACTAGAAGTAACACACATATGAATGTTTAGTACAGAGTGTATGATAAATAAGGACACTCTAACAGAAGATATAATCATTTAGAGTCAGAATAAAGAAAAAAAAGTCGAAACAAACAGATTGAGTTGCATCAACTGCCGGCTGCAAAATCCACTATTCATACATCAATACTGGTTACTAGTGATCATAAAGAGTTGAATTAGTCTAACATTTCATTATTTGTGAGAATTGGTTTATTGCTATCGTATAATAATGTCAGTTTCACTAAATTTCCAAGAGCATGAAATGTTGAAAAATTCATTCTTTCAAGCCCCGCAAAGTTGGCGGTCTGCTTGAACATCTGGGCTATCTGTTCCTGCCATCTAGATATTTTAACATATTATCTAGCTTTGTTTGTTTTAATACATAATTATGAAAAGTGTACAACCTTTCGTTGCACATGTTACAATGGCCAAAACAGAGATATTGTGGTCGTTGGCAATATGCAGCGAAAAGAATGTACATTATTCAGATGTTCATTTACTGGACTGTTAACATCTAACTGGCGATCACTCAATATTTATCGAAAAGATCGACCAAGAAGTCAGAACTGCAAACTTGTTGAAACATTTTGTGCTGATAATTCTATATTTTATCAAAAATATAATATTTAATAAAGCTAATATCAACAAATAAAATAGCGAATATTTTGAACAAAACATTGACGAATATCACTTTATTAAAGGCTTCTCGTTTACAACTATTGAAGCAAATTACTTAAAGCTAGCATAATGTGCTTGTAGGAAAATCTTGTTATTGTTGCCAAATAATGGTCATTATTCGGCAAGTGTGAATTGTAAACCAACTTTTCTTTACGAAACAATGATAGTGTTTACCAGGCAATTATACGTTTGTGGATATATCTTCAGCATACGTTCGTCATTTAGTTCATTGACATTTAGTCAGTCGTTTGACATTAGCTTTGTGCAGATCAGTACAATGGAAGCTACTGTGCAAGTGGTACACATACACAGCGTATATTCAACAGATTCTCTATTCCATTTTGTTGTCACCACGTTAATTTCTCGTCATTTTATGAGTGTGATAACTGAGTTGTTAAGACTTAATGTTTTTTGAAGACCACCTTCAACCAGTTAGCATCGAACATAGAGCATATGACGTTGAGTTACCTAGACTAATGGCCATATTGAAACCTGATCGGTAGGATTCGGTCAGCACTAGAAACCAAATAAATATAATATCGGTTACAACTTTATGGTTAATCTCTGTAAGTGAAGGTGAATGGGTATTGTTTTAATAGATTTATTTATTTATTTGAACACATAAATACTGGTACAACGGGGCGCCGAATACATATGCACCACACAAGTCACTTGATTTGTGTGTGGGCTGTAATACTGTCCGGGTGATCAGACCAAAGCAGGTAGTTTTCTTAGGGGGGCACGCCCGGAGCCTGCGACCCAAAGGTCTGATCCACAAGGCAGTGGAGCAACGTAAGAAAATGCAGTCTTATGGTGGGCTGTGACCAATAAATGGTTCATACGCCAATTGTTCCTTCAGGATCCTAGAACCCATGTGCACCATTGGTTTGGAACCAGGATTTTCCAACTCACCTAGATGGATTCTACATATACACCAACCCGGTTAAAGTGCTGGACATCCACTTTTCATCCTCTCAATTTCGTAAGCAACACGCTCGCCGCGAGAAGGCAGTGAGCAGGTCTTCCCTGGCAGTGGCTGTTGTCGCACGGCCATATCAGAGCATTTCGACAGGGAAAGCTAACTCTCCTCACCCTCGGCCGTACCAGGGCATCTGTAGACATCAATTTGAAGTATAGCTGTGAACAGTGTGAGAAGACTGAATCATTAGTATAAAGCAAAAACCAATCTGACAATCATGTAACTACGTTAAACCATCGAATGCACTTCATTCAATTGAAAAAGTTTTGACAAAAGTCAGTTATAAAATATTTAATTCGAGAGAAAACGAAATATGTAAAAAAACTTAAGATAATGGTCACATTGTTTCATAACGATATTTGTTACTCTACAGAAGTTTATAAAATAGCTCAAAATAATAATAATTATCATCAAGAGAAATTTACGTCTCAATTCTCAATAGGCACTTACATACAGTTTGTTTTAATGGATAAAGAATAAAATGAAATAAATTAATTTGATACATAAAACAACAACAAGGGTAATACAACCATTTCTCCACATATATATATCTGAAATGAACGAGAAAGATGAATGTGTAACAGCCTCATAATTCAAAGGATGGGAAACATGTTGTGAAGCAAAACAAAAGAGTTTTGTAATGAAAAATAAACTAAAATACACTTTGAAAACAAACCATCATTCTATAGAATAACAACCATAAAGTTGAGGGGTAGATAATAAGTAAACAAAATATTGAGCATCGTTTATTCATACATTCCATTACATATTATTAATTTTATTAATGAGAAATAACTAAACACCATGAGAAAGGCACATTAGTGAATATATATTTAAAAAAAAATGGAACTCATACTGGTTATCTATCTTGTCTGTTTGTTTGTTTATTTATTTTATTGATTGTAATTTTTCACAAATTTATATAAATATTACGTAACTGTTATCACAGATAAACAAAATTGTAAAAATGAGAATGATGATATGTTATCACTAGGCTTAACCAATTTACACATTGGATGTTGAAAACACACAAAAAACAAAAGAACAACTAAAAAATTGGTAGCATAATACAATATTTGTGTACTTTCCATTCTATTCACAAAACATTTCTTTAAACAGATTGTACATCTAAGGAAAGACATTGTTGTTTTCTCATGTTAGTACAAATACATGTTAATAGATATATATACACATGAAGTAGTTGAACACGAAATAATAGATTGGTAATTATTCCAATATGTTTAGTCAATATTAAAATCGATTAAAATCTATAGCGGTTGGCATATACGGTTTGCGATTAAATTTCCATTGTTGCTTTAATGATCCAGTACATGAGGTAAGTTGAACACTGGATTTTTCAATATTAATCTCTAAACATTGTCCTTCATGACGAATAGTATTGTCCTGTAAATTAGAAAATAGTTTAGGAAAAATTTCAGTTTGATTAAACAAACTGTTGGATTTACCTTATTTTCAATTAGAATTCAACAGTAATTGAACATTTGCAGTGGACAACTTTTTTAAAAAAAACAACATTACTAGAAAATAAGTAGTATACTATTGTAGTGAACAAGAATTTACTTGGGGACAACCAATTCATTGTTAAATATAAAATTACAGAATATCTTCCTAAGATATGAAAACAATACATTAAGTACTGAATCTGCACATCATTCCATCAATTGTCCTTTACATCCTTCATAATTCTTCCAATTCATAACCCCTTTAAGTTTACCTTTCTGCTTTATTCAGTTCAATCTTCTCAACCTTCTTTTGACAAGCATTCCACTTCTGGTCGGCGTTACATACTACTTATAACTGTCAAAATAAGTTGCATACAGCATACTATGTTGTCTACTCTTTACTTTAGATCAAACGATAACTGTAAGCTTCAGAGCTCAATTCACAAGTTTAATATATTAACGCACTATGTTAAAGATTCGAATTTTCTGGTACTCATCACCAAATCATATTGATAAACAAGAATAAACTAATACTATTTGACGCAGCAGTCACATACAGACCGATCAATTGATTCAAGTCATTGATCCACAGAAATTAAATGAATAAAATAATAGAATCCATGAGTCTATATAAGGTAAACTACTGGTGAACACTTCGAAGCACTAGACAGGCGTTTCGTCCTAGTATGGGACTCATTAGCAGTGCACATCTACGATCTACACATGGGACTCGAACCCAAAACATTCGGTCTCACGCGCGTACGCTTAGCAATAGAAAGTACTGCTGATTGTCGTCTGCACCTGGAATCTCGCAAATGGTGGTTAGAAACATTCAGTCATGAGGAACTTGTAATGGTCATGTAAGTAGGTTATTGTTATATCTCGACGAGAATTATGAATGGTAACTTTTAAGAACTATTTATCGATCAATGCGATACATATATTTCTACTGTATAATTGTTAAGTAACTAAACTATGCGTATTCATGTTGCTGATATTATAAGTTTTATTTTGACAAATAGACTATCATTTTACGAGTTATGCCAAGTACATTAATTACAGTCTCCCACATTCACAGATACTTTTGGCTTCATCTTGTACAAATGTTGTTTTCCACTTTATGGTACGATATGCTCTGTTTCGTTTGTATACAAACCAAGTACTTTTGAAAAAAAAATTTATATCGCAGAGGCTGAGATTGGTGTTTTGGACTTAACAAGCAGGGCTAGGCAGGAAGGAGGACAGATAAGGACTCTAGACTACTCATACGGCTTTACGCGTTATTGGTCCGATCGATAAATCACTGTTCTATAATAGGCGGTATCATTACGTCATATATTAATAGGGGACAAGGCCACAAGTTACAAAAACTATTTTATGGCTATTCTTATTAGTTGAAGACGGCATAATATGACCTATTAATTGTTCATGGTAAGCAGGTATCATCAATTGCTAGGGCCAACTGAGTTTAAACGAAACAACTAGACATATTCTTCTCCAGTCAAATTTTCTATATTAAATAATATGACGATTTTGCAGATGAAAATAATTTTTACTACAAATTAGAAGACGTACTTCGTCATAAGTAAACTTTTGATTACCCTGTGCACCATGACAACGATATAAACCAACGGTATTGTTTTTCGTACCAGAATCAAAACAAAAATCATCACGTCGAATTTCATTGTTAGGTGATAATAACCAAAACTAGAGAGAAAACATACAAATAAGAAAACGAATTAAGATTCAAAGGATAAAATGCTTGTTTACTTATTCACCTTCTCAATTAAGGCTTTTTCAAATACAAAACTTTAATAATTTTTCTATCTGAGCATATTAGTTATGACATTCTGGAAACCAGGTTTAATGGGAGTAAGTAGCAGTGATGTAGACCGATTAACTTCAGAAAAATTATTTGGTCTTGAGTATGGGCATGATATAACCAATCTATTCAATCTGGAATAAATTAGTTAACAATAAGTGTCCATGGCTACACCATGTACTTTCCTCGTCCTAAGTCCAATATTCTAAACTGAGAGCAGTCCCGACCGTTGTTGCTACTCTGACGTGGTGGTCGGGCTTGCCTATCGTGATGAAGCAACCGAGCTATACTGGCTGGAACAACTGTTCCTCAAGGTCCTACCATGTCAGACAGGTCGGTTGAAGAGCGATAAGACTAAAAGCAACAAACCCAAGGTCCGAAGGCAAAGTCGTACTTCTGACTGTACAGAGGTGTGATAGAAGTAAGGTGTTTCCTTCAGACAAACAGAATGACAGCGATGCCGCCTTACAACAAGGAGGGGTGGGTTCAGAAAAGGTCGACCCTAAAAATGCACACCTCACCTTATCCCTCGGATATCCGTCTCCGGCGGTAAGGTTTCAACAAGTACGGAACTGACACAAAAATTACTCATAAAAAGGTTGTGTGTGACCGACCTCAAGCAGTTGTCCCTAAGGCACTACGGTCAAGCTCTCAGGTCACTAAGACCACCTCTTACCCGATTTCCTTTTCAGGTACCTGCAGAAGAATCCTTCACGGTGTGGGCAACCGGGAAGTGATAAACGCCCTCATACCTTTAACAGCACCCAAGACCACTGTATTCATAATCAATCTATTCAAACTGAGAGCAGTATTTGTTGGCACCCATTGTACGTGATGAACCAGTAGTAGTAGTTGAGAAGTTAATGCATCTAAGTAGCTGTGTGAATGCTGGCGGTGGACTGAGTGATGAGATCAATTTACGTATAGTGAAGGTCGAAGAGGCATATTATAAGCTGGGGGGACCTCTGACGCTGACATCATGTTAGATTTTCTGCACAAGATTGGCTTTATAACGTATCGAGGACAGTAGTTCTACTCTATGCCTGTAAAACCTGGCCCCTTAGAGTTAAGGATGTTCACTCACTCTAAGCTCGACCATAGTTGTCTCCAAACGATGAATGATGTTCATTAGGAACGCCATGTTAGTAACTCTGAGGTTTGAAAGAACCAATAACTCATTTGATAACACCATCTTGAAACACTGACCTCAGTAGCTTGGGTATATGTTATAACTATCAAAAAGTTTACAAGTTCGTCGATCAATAATGTCACCTTTATCCAAAGCTTTTCACAGAGCCTTATATGTAATTGACACATTCAGAATTAACGATACACTGACTGCATCTATACTTCCAAAATGATTAGTTATGCCTTAAAGTTTATTGAACATTAATTAAATTCTAATGTAAAAATTTCACAAATTTCGATTCATCAGTAATTAGTCAAAAATATCTAAAAACGCTTCCCATTAAGATACATCAAGTGTAATAATTTATTAAGAGAAAATTATTCACAGTACTCTATGTTGTACTGTAAACTATTATTGGCATTTATGTCATTCCTATTTCATTATTTAACATAGCTATCAATAATCAATCGACTAACTGACTTGATTGCCACCTTGTTTATGACATGGCCATATTTTGATAATAGTTTGTTTTTTATCTCCAGTACGAGGAGTTGGTGAATCCAAACAGTGTGGACCAGCAGCACTTTCAATCTACAATGTTAGAAATATCGATGAATCAACTAATCATCAAGTACTATATATATATATTTGTTAAACAAGGTAAAAATTACCAAAGAATAGACCTTTATCAATATAGATTTATTTTGATGGAACTTTGTTCTCTGAGCTGGATGGTTTGGTCGTGGAGCGTTCATCGTTCTTCTGAACGACATCATCAGCACAAACTTCAGGTACTGATGATTTCGATCAGAAGAACGATGATCCATCTTAGAGAACAAAACTTCGAAATCATCCACCTGAGTTACAGATATTCTCCACCATCTCATATAGATTTATTCAATATTTGTTCACGCCATAAAAGAACACTGCTAAACGTATGAAATAATTGCTTGTTACGTTATTTATTTGTATTTGGTAGGACGAAATGATTTGATATCCCTAATATTGAATAGTCTCCTGCACTTCACGATTCTACTTTCTAAAGGCTTTCAAATTATCATCATAGACCTACTGATGGAAATAACTTGCTCGTCAACTGTATTTTCGGTCATTGATCTCCTTCCACGAGGTCCATTTTATCGATTGAGAATACACAGATCATATAGTCCTGCTTGTTGAAGTTGCTCATAAAAGGCAGTCTTTTGGTAGCACTGAGCAACAATTTCAGGGTGTTCGGGATATGTTTTTCCTACTCTAAATGCAAACTCTTGCCTCAAAACACCTGTACTAAGGATTGAGAGTGAAGTAGTCGAACCATTGAACCAGAACATCTACTCTTCAACTAATCTCTGACATGAATAGTTTAATGTCGCCAATTTGTCCTTTCCATTTGTTTTTAAAAATAAAAATTCATATATGGCTACTGCAAAACATCTCACTTCACAAAGACTTATATTACCAAAATGAAAGTTGAGAGAATTTGAACACAGTTTCACATGTCCGAATGAACAAAGGATACAAAACAGTTTGGAAGAATGTGACTGATGAAACTGATTGACCGAATGACGAAAATCAGAAAGACGGAATTATAAATGACTGAAAAACCATCAAATGTAAGCATGATTTCTTTCAAAAAATACTTCGTTTGAAACAAACAAATCTGAAACTTCGAATGAAAATGATTGGTTGCGTCCAATTACGAACACACGTTACATCAATTCACTACCAACATAAATAGTTCATTTTAAACATCTTAACTGAAGTGAAGCTTCACGTTAACACACTTCAGTTAATTTTCTGAATTCAAATATGATATCTACAGTCAAATTTACCGATCGCTGATAGTCCAACCGAAGCAACATTAAACGTTCCAACTAAAATCACATATATGCATATGTTAATTTAGAAGGAGACGTGTTATCAATGAACAACGCAGGTTCGACGTTTTAAATGAACATAAAAGTGCAATAAACTGAAGTGAGCAATCACGGAAGAAGCAGCAGACCATGAAAGTAAATTTTGCAGTGTAAAAGTATTCAGTGGCAGTTTTTGTACGTGATAAAGACCACACTGTTCGTTGGATTTATAATCTAATCACATATGGATCTTATTTAAAATGGTGATTTCAGGTTAATTTACTACTGGTAACAAAAATCAGACTGCCTAAAAGAAATTGGTGATAACTAAGGTTATTAACCATCAAATTTATTGATGTGCTTACGGGTCTCATTTTATATTATATTTTGTTCGGAAGTATTGTGAAATATGGTGAAAATAAAAATACAGCAGCAGGTAATTAGAAGTTGCTTATAATCTATGTTGAAGTTTTTCCTTAATATAGTTTATTATATCCTAAACTCAAAAATAATCTCACAAAACATCTCCAGGTTCCAAACTTGATGTGTTTTGGAACCGTTACCACAGTAACAAAACCATGTCATACATTTTTCGTGTACTAAACTGTTGTAGTGTAGGTTGCTATGTTAAGCCCAATTCCCTTATTCTAACTTTATCCATTCTTCTTGAGTTACGTTTTGACCTTGTTAATTATTCACTTATCAGCCTTGACTGTTTTTATATGAGAGTATATGTAAGTACACTTCTTATTCTTTTCATCACATATCTTTAACTTGTTTATATCTGGCTATAAATACTGATTAACGCATGATTAAATGGAGTTGGTTCACACGCCTTCTCCACTGAGCGTCATTTCGTTTCGCTTTCTTTATTCGCGATCTAATACAACCTTTATCCAAGTCCATCAGTGACGAATCAATACACATTTTTAAAAAATATGTTCGCTCATAACAAGGGGTTTTGCAACTTCCAATATTAGTTCCAGGAAGACAGTTATCCAAAAGAAATTCAACGAGGCTTGTTGTCAAGAATAAGAAAGTAAAACGTAAACAAGGTGATTTCAAAGAGAAACACTATTTATTTTAGCTGAAGTATACGTATTTTAATCACCATCTCATTAAATAAACCTTCAGATTTTATGAGATGTAGGTTTCAAGAAATTTTCTACAATCCAGTAACTTGCTGATTGTTTCACTGGTTATGCAATTTGTCATAGCATAGATTTCTGGCCATTTCGTGAGTGCATCAGCCATGACTAAAAACACTTTTCCTCGTGGTGGGCCTGCAATATCTGAGTGGAGACTCTCTCAGGGACTATAAGGCTTTTTCCTCTGTTGTGGCCCACTCGACCTAAGGCTTTTGGCTGCTTGCAAGCACAACGAACAATTGAGGCACCTAGTTTCGATATCTCGATCCATTGTAGGCCAGTAAGCATAGCTTCGAGCGAACGACTTTGTATTATAGATGCCGGGATGGCAAATGTGGAATGGTCTCAAAACCTTGTGGCGTAACGTTTTTCGTAAAAATAATTTTGCCGCCGAACATAATACATGAATCACCAATCCTGAGTGAGTTCCGTCAGAGAAAATATTTCAGCAGTTCTCCTTCAAAACAACGGTTCGGCCACTTGGTGAGAAGACAACACTTAACTTCTCCTAATATATTTTTACTTTCCATAGCTTCTTTGATAGCTTTGAAAGTAACTGGTAGACCATCGACAGCGTCTTCCCAATGAGTAGAAAAATTAAATTTTTTGACGTTTCGTGACTCAGTGTGGGCCATTCCTTCAGAGAATAAATAACCAAACCAAAATAATCCCATGTTTAAATAGTACAACGGAACAACACAAGAATATTTTTCTTCACGTTTCACTTGTGAACCAAACAGTCTATACAAGGCATCGGCTTGTCCAAAATAAGTAGTGTGATGGTACTTAATCTTGTAGTTGTAACCCAAGAATGTACTTCTCAATCGTTACAGTCTGTTCGCTGTATACACTGGAATCTTTTTTTCGACCCGAATGTGGCCAGCAATAGTTTATGGTAAGTTAATATCGTAAACTGACATCTAAATATCATCTCGTGAAACTTCTTTACAGCAAAGAAAAATGTCAATGCATTCTTCTTGATCTGACTGTAGCTACGTTCTGCTGTAATTAACGATCTAGCTGCACTTGATATGGCTTTCTCAGATTTATTGGGTTAGATATGTGAAATCACTGCTCCAATTCCATAATTTGACGCATCCGCTGCGATCACAATAGTAACAGCTGGATCATCATATCAAAAGTATTATCTATCAAAATAATTTCTCAGTTTTATTCACATTCTGCTTTTCAACGTTCATACTATGTTTACTATTTGCCTAAAACAAAAGGTACAAGTTTCCATGTTGAAATATCATTTCAATATAGTATTTAAGGCTAATAATAACATTTCCAAAGGAGTTTATTTTCCAGTTCTTACAAGGTCACCAATAAATATGACAGAATATATCACTGGGAATGTCCAATATTATGGTTAAGGGAAATTATTCATGGATGATGGATTGAAACAGATAAAGATAACAGAAGACATTTTTAACAATAAGAAACGGAGTAGTGACTTGACAAAGCTTCAGAATTTGTAGACCGCAAGAAATACAAGAAATTTCTCATCCGGATAAGTGTAACATAGAAAAGAAAATGTAGTTCGAATATGATAAAACATGGCTGCAAACGTTTGTTGAAATAATAAACCATTTATCAGATAGATTTCATTGAAATCACTGATTTATGGATGATGAAATCAATGTTGGTTCAATAAATTTTAAGAAAATGTTATACATAGACAAGATCATATTAGTACAATAGAGATAAATTAAGCTGTAATCAGTATAATTATATAGGATAATAGACTAACAATCGTTTATAGCCAAATAAAAGATCGGTGCAAGTAACCGTAATTACTCATTTTGACTAGCATCATGTCATCTTTGAAAACATGAATTTTCACGAACTTCCCTGTAATCGTACTGTAAAACGCAAAATCTTGGTAATTAAGATCTCTGTCATTTATTCTGGTCAAAATACTCATTTTATCCATACATACGAAACAACATCTCAAACTGTCAAGCCCAGTGAGCAAGTGTTCGTAATCTCTAGATAACATGTACGCCTACACGAGCATTGCCAACTAGCACAAATCCTTGGTCCAGGTATACTTTTGATGTTTAACCATCTAACGTCCCATCATGGCAAAAATGATGTCGATTTAACCTGACTAGTGATAACGTGATCAATATAATTCGATTAACACCAAGAAGGACGCGGCATAAATGACATTAGTAACTACTCAGTGACTGATCAGTTGTAAAAAAAATAAAACAAATTGCAAACATAACTTGGGGAATAGTTCATGTTTAAACACTGAATTCCGTAGAAAACAGAAAATGTACGACAAAAAAAAACTTACATCACCAGAAGCCAAAGCTTTCGAAGGAACAAATAATTCAGGATAAACATTGGTTAAATACCAATCAAATGAGTGACATTTCAGTTTTTCTCGTAAGGCTTTGCGTTCTGAAACATCTCCAAAATCAATCTAAATCAGAGTAAATACAGAAAGGAGAAAATCATTTATTACGCAATTAATCGCTAAAAGTTAATTGCTTCTCCTGAAAATTACTGTATTTTACCTTAAAAAAGAGCATGAAAATATTTATGAATCCAATATGTACTCTAAAATGAATGCTCAAATTTTGATTCTCGACTACTTTTGGACATTCTTGACCAGATCAAAAATACCGAGAAATAACCTTATAAAATAACTACACTATTATAAACATTTTCAAAATTAAGCTGCATTAGTTTTGAAATGAGAAGTAAAAACTCGTTTTCACCTCTCGGCTTATAGTGCTTGCAAATTCTGGCAATGATGAGGCAACCGCATAGGATGCATATATGCCAATAAGAGACTGATCAATTGCAGTCTTAAACATCAATGTGAAGATTCAAACAACCAATAAAATAGCAGTGTTTGAAGCGAACGGTACCAGATTTGAGTCCCGTAGTGAACATCAACACTGAGATGCAGGTTCATCCAGCCGATGAGTCCTAAAATAGGACGAAACACGTGTCCTAGATTCCATACCTAACCACCATCTGTCTCTTCTCACGAAAGTATTTTAGTTTAAAAATTTATGCACACGCCGAAGAAGACATAATGCTAGAGCCTGTTGAATATTTTCAGCAAATAACCATTGCTATTTAGAAAATATGGGATTTGATTAGAAATCGGATCCAGAGAGCGCTTATCAATAGTTAAGGCAATAATTCACACAGGATGTACAAATGTCAACAAAGAACATCCGAAATTCATCCGTTATTATCAACAATGAAATGATTCAAACACTTACACAATAAGAAGAAAAAGATTATGTTCAGTTTTAGGTGGTTCGGTTAACCTACTTATCATCACCATTTTCAATTCATCAAATCAACCCAAGTGTCAGTGTTATTGTTAAGATGCAATCATCATTTATTCCTAAGTGTGAATGAAAATAACTATATAGATAATTATAAATCCAAAGCGCATTATAACTGATATCAACATGAGAAGAAAGATATTTTTTGAATAATTGTCAATTTTGTCTGTGAAATGAAACATACAGGAATTCAGAACAAAGGTTTTCTTCCTCTAACTGAATATTTATCCAACAAGTTATTTTTATTATAACAAAAAGGCGGTAAAATGAAAGTGTCACATAACAGAATGTTGTTAGTATAGCTAACGAGTTTAGATAGGAATGATTTGTGAAGCTTATTAGGGTAATCTGAACTTATTTTACAAGCAATATATCCCTGAATTTAGTAAGTTATATACATTCAATAAAAAGCAAATACAATTTAAGTATAGCAAACTTACAGTGTTAAATCCAATACGAGCATGATAAAATCGTTTATAATCATCAAGCCATACATCAGCCAAACGGAGTAGATTTCTTTTCAAAGGATCTTTTACATTAATATTCCATTTGTATGGTGAACGACTACGAAAAATATGTCCAACAACACTGCACACGACAGTTTCTAAACTACCACCACACATCCAAACCTAAATAGTACATATCACAAATGATGAATAGATTGAAAGGAGGAAAGAAGTAACGACATGATCTAGTAGTTATTGTATACTTAATTATTTCATTACTAAAAATGAAGGATTTTAAAACTACACAGAATTAAAGCATATCACAAAACAACAAACACCCTTCAAAATACTTTAGTTTTCTCCCAAAAAAAAATCACTTTTACGTTAATAAATAACTGTCTAGAAATTAGGATGTGTTGAATGTGATGCCTTCAATATTGAAGAGTCATCTCGTGAAATCTCGACTCGAGCCGAAAAGAATCTTAGTATATACACAGAAACCACTTAATAATCCCGTAGAACTGGATAGACTTCAAATTAAATCAGCAACAGCAGTTTACGCCATTTTCAACAACCATCAAATCGAAATCAAAAACATCAAAATCATACAAAAAGGCTTTTCAATTACAAAGAAAGCAGAATAGCTGAAACTTTTCATATAATGCTTAATCCTACTGTTGTCAATAGAAAAGACAGCCTCACTATCCATACGACTTGAGCTATCTATCCAAGCTACCATGTCTGATATTACTCATCTTTCACACTATTATCGTACATACAAATTAAACTCTATCCTTCCTCACCACAAATGTCATATTTATTCATCCCTGAGCATACATAAATGCACACACACAATTTACATACATATCGCACATAAATTATCTTGACCGGAATGACATGACATTGATTTGTCCAGACCTCTTTTTTTGACTGATCGCATCTAATATTCTTGCTTTGTTCCTTTGTATTATTTAACCTTGGGTTAGTCTTGATTTGTTTGTTCATTCTCTGAAGAAGTGGCTTACACTGAGTCACAAAACGTCGGAAAATCGAATTGTTCTATACATTTGGAAATTACAAATACATTCTTTTTATTTATAATCCTACCGCACAAACTATTCAGAATTTTTTAAAATGAGAATTTATCAGAAAACTTTAAAACTCCATTTGTTTCATGAATGCTTAACTAATTTAGTCAATAATATATGATTATCAATGGGTCCATTGGTCAGACACTATCAGCAACAACCTACTGTGGGAAAGAACAAACCAGATCTCAACAGAGGAAGAAATCAAGAAGAAGCATCAAAGAAGACCAAAGAACACATTACGTCGAGAAATGGAGATAGACATGAGAAGGATGAACAACAATTGGATAGAGCTAGAAAGGAAGGTCCGGGACAGAGTGGGTTTGAGAATGTTGGTCGACGGCTTATACTCCATTGGGAGTAACAGGCGTTAGTAAGTAAGTAAGTAAAGTAATGGTGTAAAATATTTACAAACATTTTTTGATCTGGAAAAATTATTAATGATCATAAAACTAATATCTCAGTTCTACAATTGAACTATTCTTGGAAGTGAATTATTTTCATAATTCCATCGTTTGATTCTATTCCATTTAAAGACGGTCAAAGCTTAGAAACCACTTAAATTATGAATCATATAACCGTTTTCATGTAATAAATTTACTGAAAATATTCGGGAAAACATTCATTAAATATTAAAATTTCAATAAACTGTAATTATTTCGGTACTGAACTCTTAATATATTTCATAACTATCTCTACAATCACTGAACCAACTTTAGTTAAATTAGCAATCTGGTTCTTGATTGATCCATTAATAATTTATCGCTCTAAACTACTTAATGGAGCTTATATATGATTTAAAAAATGTGAATATTAAACGTTTTAGTAAAAAGACACTAAGGTAGTTTGTAAAGCGAATATATTGTAACTCAGTACCTATCTACATACAGTTTTGTGTGCTGAAGTTGAAATACAGATTATATATTATTGCTAATAGAAATTAAAAAGTGTCTGAGCAGAGATAACAGAATTTTGTTTTGGAAACATAACACAACAGTCGGCTGTCAAGTATCTTGATTACCGGGTTATATTTCCTTACACCAGAGAATGTTCGCATTTGTGAGATTTTGCATGGTAATCACTTTCCATGTCCATTATTTCAGAATTTATATTACAGAGTTAGTACACAAAGAGACGCTCAAGTGCAGGTTCTATAGTTTTGGCTGACCATGTTCCTTAAAAAACTACGTAAGAAAAGCTATTTTGATCTACGAATACAAGTGCGCCTAACTGAATATACTATAAAACATAACAAGATATGTCAGTTATTGGTGTTTCATAAGGACAACCGACCTTACTCCATAATTCTGAAGAAAAACGGAAAACTGGAAGATTCGAGGACACACTAAGTCAAGAATTGGAAGCAAAGATGAAAAGGATGAGTAGTAACTGAAACGAATTGTCCAGGACAGAGCTCGATGGAGAATGATGGCTTGCGGCCTATGCTACTCCATGAAGAGTAACGGACATAAGTAAGTAATTAGCATTCTAATTATAAAATGCTAGTCACAATAAAAGTAGATAATCAAGCAATTAGTTAAATTACCTAAGGTAGAATAACTGAGATATCAAACACAGTTTGATGTTATCTGTTCTCAGATGAGTATTTTGTATGCAAGTATGTAACTCACTCTCACAGTTGTATTCTACATAACCCTTAAACACTAATAGTATTCTATAATATTCTACAAGCAACACTACAACATCATTCGAATGCTAACCAGTTCGATTGAATATTCAAGTAACTATTTCCATGGCTATTATTTCATCATTGTTTTCAAATCATTACAGAACCACTCTAATTGAAACATAATTCAACGGCTAATATACAGCAAATGAATCTCCATAATTGTATTAAAATCAAGATGAAAATGAAACAAAGTAGTCGACAATAGGTTATTATATTTGACAAACTATATATTGATGTTTGTTTTTCTCAATTATCTAGATTAAGTTGTCTAAATATAATTAAGGGAGAACGGAAATACCAATCAAGACAAAATAATATAATCAACCGCCTACACAAATATGCATGCAAATATCAAAATTCATTTGTGACTATCATTATACGTAAATAGAAATCTGTAGCTCAGTCAAATACATGAATTGCATGGCTGACATTCAAATAATTACTGAATATATTTTCATTTACCTCAGCAAATACGAATACACTACTGATACATATGGGTTGTAATTTGGAACAAGTTAATATCTGGTTGAATGTTTCAGTAAAAGATGACAGACTAATGGTTACCAGACTTGACTTGATGCAATCACCTCTCAAGTTTGCATTATGCTTCACTGATTTCGGTTTGGGAAGGAGCAGTAGTGTGATTATTTGTTAGACGTAAGAAAGCGTGACTTATTTCTTAAATTTCTATGAATTTTCGCTGTCCATTTAAATTAGATGCAACAGATTAAAGGGAGTAAGACAGAAGTAAAACTAGGTTTCAACTGACTGAACAAATACACAACAAACAAACTGAACCAACTGAAATGCGAAAATTTCATTTTAAGTTAGAAGAATGCAAGCAGATATATACATTTTTGCTTACTTTGAATGACAGTTCCAAATTTTCACCTCCCCATATTTCCATACCAGAATCATACTTCCCAAGATGATTAAAATACTCACGACTTATAGCAAATAAACCACCTGCCATGGTAGGTGATCTGAAGAATAGAAACATGACGAACAGGGAAAATAAATGGATACGAGATCAGTGTACACTAGTTTCTTATCACTTAAATAATGTCAGAGTATTCTTTTGCACTTATCGAAATGTTTTAACGAGATTTGTTCATTCTAAACAAAAAGAAATATTGAGGAAAATTTTTATCGCTAGTCAACAAGACCAACTTATCACTTGTGTAGTCAGTTTGATTTAAAGTCGAGAAATAACCAAGGTTATTGGATGGGGATTATGCTATGTTATAAAATGACTACTATGTGCTGACCTACAGAACTAGGAGTATCGAGCTTACTATGAGAAATAAATGTCATTGGTTTATGGATGATTGTAGGTGCGTCTAATGGTTCACCAAATGGCTTCAGTTTATAATTTAAATTATCATTGGAACACTCAAGAACGTATTTTACGTATTTTACCTGTGAAATATCAGTTACAAGATTTAACTATCTTTAATACATACATAAATGCACACATACACATGTAAATATTCATATAGACGCAATGATCTGCAGCAGTTAATAGAATTAATACAATAATATGGGAATTTTTAGTAATTTATAGAAATAATCGTTATTCATGTAGGCTAATTACATACACTTTTTACATTGTACAACAGATAACTAATAACTGAAATGCCAATTCATTGTGTCTATATTCAATTTCATACAACTAAAAAAAGGATTAATATTCATAAGAAATAGATATTAGTATAGGGACTTGTGGAAATTGTAGTAATTTAACAGATGAGTTGACGAGTCTATCTAAGCTACACAAACACCCCTTCTGATAATGACCATATGTTCGGTAGTGACTAGCTTGAAAATGGATTTCCTGGGGTTCTAGCGAGAAGCCGTGACCAGTGGAATCCAATCCGTGTCAAATGGAGAGAGTTATCCACTCCAGACAATGGATGAAGGGTTGCGTAAGATCAGGGACCGATTGAAGTTAGACATTGACACTGTTGAATGCCAGCCGGCTCAGTGGTCTAGAACGTTAAGCATTCGTGCGCGAGACCGAATTTCCTGGGTTCGAGACCCATGTGTGGGAACTTGTATTCGCGATGCTGAAGAGTCCCTACTAGGAGGAGACGGCCGTCCAGTGTTTCCAGGTTTTCAGAGGTGCGTTAAAGTGGATCGACTCATCAATTCAACTTTTAAGACAAATATTAGACTTTAAAAAAGAAATGCAACAAATAGTGTTTATTACAGTAGGCATGTGTATGTAAATACATGCAACTAATGCAGACTATCTATAAATATTACTATTGTTACCATATAAATCTCTAGTACTTAGTCAAAAGAATAAAACTAAACGAAATAAGTGATGAGTAATGAATGAAAACATTTCAAATGGAATAGCACAGTTCTTTGAGAATGGATAGAATAAATATATCACCTCAGTTAATCAACATAAAAGGAAATCCTCCTCCACACACACACACACAAACGAATTTCGAACCGTTAATAAGCATAATTCATGAGGACAATCGTCATTTATATGTTCAAATGCTACAACTATTACAAGAAACGAAATGGTAAAACAATAAAAAATAATAAAATGAGAAGAAGATTATCAGAACTACATATTTCTGATAATCTTCGTCTTCTTATTACATTATCGAAATTTATCAAAGGGACTAATTGCTTACAATAAAATGAGAACTAAGAAATAGTAATATTTACTTGGAGTAATAAACATGAAACAGATGACTGACAAAACATTATAAATATACACACATTGTTATCAATTAGATACTAAGAAAACATGATGAATTTTACGAAGAAAGCATTCGAATGATTTACTAAATTTGGGCAGTTGGCATCAAGAAAATTTTAAGATATGCATTTCATCCTATCTGAGATTCACCAAGTGGATGTACTTGTATAACAATGTCAATGCTCACAATAAAACGCAAACTCAAAATAGTTCGTTTTACAAAGAAATGAGTTGCCTATTGAGCCAGTGAGTTCAAACAACATACAATTATTTGAAGTGAAGCGCACTAGTTTCGAGTTTCAGTGTGAACATTCGTACTGGAGTGCTGACAAATCCAAAATGGGATCAAATGTGTGTACTGAACTCTACTACTATCATTATCTGAACTTATTCAAAACGGTAGATCATATAGAAACAAGAAAATGATTTAAAGGGTTCTAACCCTAAACTCACTCAATTTTAGCTTACATCATGTAAAAAGAGCAGTACGAACACCTTTTGTAAAGTGACTAGAACATTTAAAGTTATATACAGAATTTATTTCTTGATATTAAAGAGTAAAATGATGCCATTAAAGAGGAAAATCATATCTGTATAAGATCTCCGAAAATGAAATTTGATAAAATCCAACGTTACACACGGCAATTTGGTTCAAGCTTTTTGAAGGAAATATAATCAAACGTTGGATTTACTTTGGTTGCCGAGATATTTATTACAAATATAACTCATCACTTTTATGTTTTCCACATTATTTAAGTACCCAACTACTGTAAAACTATTCATCCAAATTTAGATTGTAGTTCTTACAAATGTTCGATTCTTCTTTTTAGGTTGCTTATAACACGTAAATCAACCCTATCCCTGAATTTTAACCATACAACCATAATTCTTTCTCAAACACTACAGTGCCAATCTTAGTCTGTTTTCTGACTGATATGATGGTAAAAGTCAAAATTAGATTGATTTACTTATTATGATTTTTATCCCGGGCTTTTGAGAAAAGACTTTGCTGTATTGCTGAAGGCAGTTAGCAAGATGTGTGGTGAATCTTTCGAGGTCATAATTATTATGGTTGTGGATAGACATCTAAAGTCATGCAAACTCCTGGCAGGTGTTATTTTATCAGATACTAACCATCCCCTTCACTCTTATCTTTCTCCTTGTATATCTTCTGGTAGAACGAGATGTAATTACATTAAAATCCATGCATGCAAGCAAAAGTATAAAAGTTCTATAATACTTTACGTAGCAAATATACTCTGTGACGAATAGGTTGCTAGAGTTAACTTAATCAATAACCTGCATTCTTAACATGTCACTAATTTGAAAAGTTGTACAGCTTTTTGGTTTTCTTTAAACCTTTCGTGTTCTTTTTTTTGTTTTTTTTTGCGTAAGTAACTTGTTGAAGTACCCAGTTCTGAGAATTCTGTATTGTACCAAAATATAATACTGAATAAAGCCATTAATAAAAATAATAATAACATTACTTCCGTTTTGGTTCAATATAATGATTACTCAATGCGGTATTTGTTTTCTTTTCTCGTATGATAGTTCATTCTGTATAACATACGATATTCTTGTATTCAATGGATATGAACTATGCTCAGCTTATGATTTATTATAACTGAGTATTTTTTACATATGTGATTTCATTCTAATTATTCATCAAAGTGTGTGTACTAATTAATATATAAACGAATGTATTTTCGACTAGGGTCGTCGTGTTTTGGGCGTTAATAAATCTTCACTTATATCAGTCTTTGTGTTCTTACTTTCGCGTCGTGAGAATTGCAGAGGTCTATCGTTTCATTTATAATTGATAAGCGTTTTCGACATAACAATCAGCGATGACCAGGTAATAACAAGTAGCATTCAATCAACAAGACATATCACTAATCGACTAAGAATTTAGTCAAATTCATCAAGATTATTTTGAACTCTTCTTTATAATTTATAGCCTAAAATATTTATGATAAAATGGTAGCATCAAGGCGATGCTTTCAGGAAAATAAAAATCTACACAAATTAAGTTGATATATATATATATATATAATAGAACTATTTTCACGGAATTCCCAAATATTTTACAACACACAAATGCGCATACAGTTCACTAGAGTAAATAAGAAACGAACATTAATAATAATAATAATAATAATAATAATAATAATAATAATAATAATACTTAGATTATTTCGAAAGGCTTATTAAATATTAAAATAAAGTATAAATCATGTTATGTAATCTAGATCTAAGTATGTACAAGAATGTTGTTTATGTCAAAATGTGTATTGATAAGAGTATAGTATTATAAACTTTTATAATAATGAAGTGTAAATGACAAATAAATACCATTTAGAATACCATTTGGAATAATCAAAAGAAAAACATCAACTCAAATTTGTGTTTTGACGTTTGATAAAATGATGGGGTTAACATTATAAAATACTAAATAGAATTTCTAAAAATACAATTATCGATTATATTAAATACAGGTCTATATGATGTAATAATGTTTCATTTATAAAAACTTAAGTAAATGTTTCAAGGATCCATTATGTAACCTTATAATTGAAGTAGTCTTTTTGTATTCTTTGAACAATGCTCTACAGGGATATGAACAATTAAAACCCATGATACAATTAAAATCTCTTTCAAATATAAATGAAATTATAAACATGTAGATAAATCAATATTGAATAAAGTGTCCTCAAATTTAGAATCTCTGTTGAAATACTTGTTATAAGCAATAGTGTACGGATATAAATCATTCAAAAAATAATGATTAAGAGTGAAAGCCAATGTAGACCATTCAAATTAAATCTAATAACTAATAATCAATTCAGTGAATACCCATTATAGTTGCCTCTATTGTAGTCATGATAACATGATAGTGAAACAAAAAAGTGTGAATAACGAAAATTTTAATTAACACTTGTAAGGTGTCTGACTTATTTGAGAAAATATTATTTGAATGCTTTTTGTATTCAACTAATCTCAGTTTTCAAAGAAGAACGTTGATTGTTGAAGCATTAAAATAATGTAAAAAAATCAGCTTGAGAAATATCTTTGTATCATTTAAACCATAATCTAATTATAAAAATTTTGAATAAAAAAAGAATCCAGCCAAGAAAACTTTATTTCGACGAAATTTTCTTCGCTGAATTCTCTTTTTCTTATTCAATAACTTACTTACGTACTTACGCCTGTTACTCCTCGTGAAGGAGCATAGACCGCTCACCAGCATTCTCCATCAAACCCTGTCCTGGGCAATCCCTTCCAGATCCTTCCAGTTCCTAATGATCCTTTTCATGTCTGCTTCGATTTCCCAGCGTAATGTGTTCTTTAGCCTTACTCTTTTCCGCTTCTCTCCAGGATTCCAGGTTAGGGCTTGCCCCGTGATGTAGTTTGATGATTTGCGTAATGTATGTCCTATCCATTTCCATCGTCTTTTCCTAATGTCCTCCTCAGCTGGAATCTGGTTTGTTCTATCCCACAAAAGGCTATTGGTAATGGTATCTCACCAATGGATGTTAAGTATCTTGCGTAGACAACTATTTATAAATACTCGTACCTTCTTGGTGATGATGGTTGTTGTAGTTCTCCAAGTTTCAGCTCCGCACAGTAGAACTGCCTTGACGTTCGTATTCAAGATTCTCACTTTGATATTAGATGACAGTTGTTTTGAGTTCCATATGTTCTTCAATCGAAGGAATGCGACCCTTGCTTCGGTAATCCTCGACTTTTTGTCTGCATCTGACCCTCTTTGCTCATCGATAATGCTTCCCAGGTATGTGAAGGATTCTACATCTTCCAGTATTTTGCCATCAAGAGTGATTGGATTGCTGTTCTCCGTTTTGAATTTGAGAACCTTGGTTTTCCTCTTGTGTATGGTGAGGCCTACTGATGCATAGATTGCTGTTACACTGGCTGTCTTGATCTGCATTTGTTCGTGTGTATGGGATAGGAGGGCTAGGTGATCTGAGAAGTCCGAATCGTTTAATTGGTTATGATCTGTCTATTGTATGGCGTGTTTTTCCTCAGATGTCGAGGTCTTCATAAATCAGTCGACCACCAGAAGAAAGAGGAAGGGAGAGAGTAAACAGCCTTGTCTGACTCCCGTCCTTACTTGGAATGCATCTGTCAACTGTTCTCCATGCACTACTTTGCACTGTAGTCCGTCGTGTGAGTTCCGGATAATATTGACAATCTTCTCAGGAACTCCGTAGTGTCGAAGAAGTTTCCATAATGTCCTCCTATCTACACTGTCGAATGCCTCTTCATAATCAATGAAGTTGATGTATAGTGATGAGTTCCACTCAACTGATTGTTCGACGATGATCCGTAGTGTTGCAATTTGGTCTGTGCACGACCGATCCTTACGGTATCCAGCTTGTTGATCTCGAAGTTGGGCGTCTACCGCGTCAATAACAGTATGGGTTATTATAACATTTTTATTGGGGTAGATTTCATTACCTCAAACACCATTGTTGAAGTGGCTTGAGTAGGAAATTTTTATGTCATTTCCATCGATTTAAATGGGATGCTTGAATTTTTTTGGTTGCTGCCGTCATATAAGCTTAAGCTGATATGGTTCATGTACGCGTCATCATCTTTTACAAGTTATTTGGCATATGTCTGATTGTCTCAGTATACCAACCTTTTCTTTATCAAAAAATAAGTATGTCTTTTAGAATTCAGCTTTAGGAACTAAGTTGCGATCACAGCAGATACTGGCAATATTTCTAAGAGATCTGTGATCAAATACTAGTGACTTACGAGTAAGTTAAAATATTTGAACATCGAAAACTATGGTCCATTTGACACAGTCTAATCAAAGTGAGCTAAAGAGAAATCGGTATAGAAAAGTCAAAGTAATTTAAACTAGGTACATGAATCCAATTTATGAAACTGGGTTGGCTAACGTTATTAGGTTGACTGCTAAAAATGTCTGGATATTTATTTCCGAAAAATGATGGACATATATACAAGATCCACAAATCAAAACTGGACTACCAAGTCAACCATGTGAAGGGTGTCTTTCACAGATTATAAAAGTGCAAGAAAAAGATTGGTTATTATGTGGATTAATATTTCGTGCAGATATTTATTATTTTGAGTTTTGGAGTTTTGTGAAGATTATTCTATTCACACAATTTGCATCATAGACTGATCCAACTTTGGCCATCGCTGAAAACCAAGAAGTAATGGACAACTGTTTCATTACAGCAGAGAACTACTCAGAGGTGTGAATGTACAACCCTGCCGAAGATCGAACCCAGGACATTTGATCTCATGCACGTACCCATAACTTCTGTAGATCACTGAGCTGTCATTCCATGTTGTACATGTTTAAATGCAATCAATTCGTGATATTATTTTTTGTAAACTATGATTGACACAACATTTTTTGTACAATAACTATGACTCCAAGTACATATACGGTGTATAGAAAATGTAGTAGAAATTACGTAAACAATTGGTAGCTCATATCTCAATAAAAGTAGAAGCGAACAATTTGAAAATTCGATTTACATTACACATGAAGTGCATTAATCAAACAAGTCTATATTTTACAGAAATTATATAAATAAAGTGATTTTCACGAATTTCAATCAACCAATATACCAAAGAGATTAATATAGAAAAACAACATTCAGTCAATAAAAACAATTGCATAATAGGAATAATTACTTAATCAATCAAAATATTAAATAATCATTGACTAATACTTTTACAGTAATCCTTATAAGGACAAGTAAAAAACAATGCAATATGTAGTTAATTCATTAAATTTTATAAATAATGATCTAGTTACGAAGCATTGATTGAAGTACTCATCTCGAAGTCATAAGTTCTGTCTTGTTTTTTTTAAAAGTCTATTGAGGAATTATTCAATTAACGTTCTTTAATTACCTGAAAGTTGTTAAATCTGATAAACAACTAATTATAGAAAACATAATAAGATGGAGTGAGAAAATCATTCGATGAAAAATGTAAGTAAAGAAAAATCAAATGTTTATGATATGTGTTTTTTCACCTTTATTATTTAAAACTGTTCAGAATTAATTCTGGAAATTTAATCTGCTTAAAGGTATAAAAACTTTGAATTTAATGGATTGTAGTCATGTCAAGATTTAACCATTGTAGTTTGATAGATAAAAAGCATATATCAGAGGAATAAAAGAGATATCACTGATTATAACTGATGACAAGCGAAAAAGTGGGGTTCCCTACTAGTTCAAAACACTCAGGACGTTTTTTGTGTGGTGAAGTATTTCAGACAGAAACAGTTTTTTAATAATATAAAGGATATATCAAGATGACAGAAGTTCCATAGTTTTTAAATCAAATCCTGATCTTAGCCAGATCACCACTGAAAACCTGGAAGCAATGGGTGTCTGTTACGTCCAAGATTACTTAGGCATGAGAATCCGCGCGTCGAAATAAAGACCATTGTCTGTAATTTCAATAACAGTAATTATCATTATATGTGGAAATTATATTTCACATAATCTCAGCGGTTGAAATTAAAATGATTCCAAAGTTTCGTCTAGCAAACTTGACTGGACTTGTTCGAGGTATTAATCAAAATTATCAAAAACATATATAATCTTTAACGATCAAATCAACTCTATACTGTACAATTATCATTAACTGGTTGCATTAAAAATGCCTAAAATGAAGAAAATAAACCAGTCTAACTGCATTTTTGTTGAATACATTCGAATACTAACAGGTTGTCATTCGATTTCAAAAAGAGAAACAATCTCTATGAAGAAAACTTAAGTAAAAGCATAAAAAGATTGATAACAGCAGTTTTTGAACAGATGAAATTTACATGAAATTTTTTTATGTTGAAGTACTAGTTCCATGAAGACATGTGAACAAGGAATGAACATGATGATGCTATCGAAAGATTATAATACTACATTACGTAATATGAATAATAACAATATAACTCTTAATATCTAAGCTAGACCACCATTGAAAACTTGGAAACACTGAATGGCCATTTCGTCTTATTATGGGACCCCAAAAATGCGCTTCCACGATCTCGGATGCGGGACTCGGATCCAGGACCTTCGGTCTCGTGCGCCAACGCAAACGAATTACTAAGTGAATGCAGTAAGATGACTAGGAAGTTTCTCTACAATAATTAAAGGTAGTAGAAGTGCAAAATATCCTCATGATTTTATCCATAATTCTTCCCTACATAACTTCATTTAATTTTCCACCTCTATTACCTTTATTCACTGTAACAAAACATTCTAATCAACTTATTACACTCACATTATAATCCGCTACTAAATTATTAATTTTACTGCTATTATTCCTATTACGTAATCTTGATTAAATTTAGTTAGATCACAAATTTTAGTTTGTATTAATTACCTAACAGGTGAATATGGTGCACCAGGTCGATTTTTGTCACGTTCAGTTTGTTCGTGCCATCGGAATGTTAAACTCCAATCAAATCCACCAACTTGAACATGAGCCGCATTAAGAAAATTATACTTCAACGTTTTATCACTTATAGTCGATATTACAGGAACAACAACAATTGAAGAATTGTAAGCAATACGATCTAAAAGTGGTTCAAGCCAACCTAGGAAATAAACAAAGACAAGTATGAACGGTTAAATATTAAATGACGTTGAACCATGTACGTTTGTAAATGAAAAACAACTAATCAACAATATAATGCACAACTTTATACAAAACGTCACTTGTACATTGCAACCGATGGCTTAAGATCAGTGAAGCACAGATTTGAAGGATACTACTAATATCAGTATGTCACTTATCATTATTACACGATTTCCGGTTGTCATTGATTAGCTGTATTTCAACAGTGTATATATGTCAGTGCGGACAACATTGTACTGTGTTTAGTTATACTACATCAACTGAATGGTGAATATTGTCTCAATGTTGAAGTGTAAATAACCACAGATTCCATATTCATATGAAGTAAAATCTATATGGTACAATATACAGAAATGTGTGGGAGATCAAGTATACATTATCAGTAAGAACTCTGTCTCTCTCCCTCTGGATTCAGAAAGTCAGAAAGCCGTAAATCGAATGTACATTTTACTAGAGCACAGATTAGTCTTATGATCATTATATAATTCACTTCAAATATGTTAGGCAGCTACATGTTTGAATAATGTGTGTCAACATATCGATTACATGAGTAATGACGAAGGGATTAACGTTGACCGACTATGAACAGAAAACCTCTCTTTGGTTCAGTGTATCTAATTTATCCCCGTTTAGGCGACGAGTGTAATAAAAGGCCAAATACGAATTAATTCAGATGAATCTATTTCAAGTACTCATTTGATTAGAGAGACTATAAGACGAGATGTGAAGCTGGGAAGACAAACGTAGAAACTTCCCTTTAACAAAGCATGAATCAATATTTATAATTAGATAGATAAAAAAAAATGAAGAAACGTTATAAAGACTGTACGTGGTAAACGCACACCTACACAACACTCATATAAAACCAGTCAGAATCATCAGTGAATGACTGACATGGTCAAATATATATATATATATATATATATATATATATATATATATATATATATATATATATATATATATATATATATATATATATATCGAATAATAACAAAATACAATATAATTTCTAAATAAGAATGATCTATCGAATTATACACAATGAAGGGGATGAATAATTGCAACCAACAGAGGAAAAAGTCTACGCAAAATGTCATACATGCTTGCCAATTATATTTTTGTAGTGTTTACAAATCCACATACGTATCTCAACAAAAGAATAGACAAAGAACCGTGAAAAATAATTCATTAAATTAACAGTTAACGGATATTATGGAAAAGAATACGAGGAGACAATTAAATCATATAAAATATGATCTAAACTGCTTGGAAATAATCTTACTTGAGTATCATCAAGAAAATTTTTCACTACATACAAACTAGTTTAGTGATGAAAAAAGGTAGATAGTGATAAAAATAGCAAAAGTCAATAGTTCTTTTGTATGGTTGTTAAACCTGGCAACATCAAGTCGAGCACATTCGACCTCTTAATCTTTATTCGTTATAAAAATATGTTTATACTCAAAAAACTCATATTTACATTCTGTAAAAGACACAATATTATGAAACACTCGTACAATCAGGTAATGTTAATGTATTACCAAGCTCACCTGTAGTACATTCAATATGCGAATCTAGAAATACGAGCACTTTCCCAGTACTGTGTTCTGCACCAATCATTCTTGCTCTGATCAATCCTTCACGTCGTTTGGTACGAACAATTTTGACAACATTTAACATTCCCATATATTCTTCTAGTGCTTCTCTGAGATAGGCTGAATTCACAGAAAACAAGTCAAGAACAAATACCGTTGTTATGTTAAATTAGTGATCTATCAAACTGATTTTGGCGAACGAAAATACTTAATTATTGACTGATAATAGAGCAGTTCAAAATGAACGCATAAAGCAGTTGTTAAGATATTTGCTCCTGTCATCAACATTTATATTTCAAAAAAATCCATCTATTTTGCAACAACGACTATCATAACAAGAAACTGAATAAGGTTTTATGGTGTAATTTTTAATCAACTGAACTTGATTATTTATAAGGACAGTTTTAATAGTTAAACACTTTAGTACATAAATGTTAAAACACGAAAATTAGCAACTTCAAAATCATGTACAACAATAGTAGGTCATGCAAAAAACTCAATGGTTCAGTTTGAAAAAGGTTGAGAAGTTTGAACTATGAATAAAAAGGTTATTCGACAGAAATCGTTTTCAGAATAGATGGGTTGTACTTAGTAGTGAAATCTAGAACCCAAGTTTCGTCCTGAGATTCGTTAACTGGATATAAATATATTGCAGTACTAACGTTCATATTAAGACTCGAACGCATTACGTTCTGCTGCAAGTGTCCACTGGGTTATTAAATCCAGATAATTCCTGACTCGTCCAGGTTAGTATGGATTAGGACGAGATGTCTGCCCTGAATTCAACTACTAACCAAGATCTATCTCCAAAAAACCTTGTGACAAAATATCAAGGTAAGTTACTCAGCAAGCAAAAATGCCAAAGGGGAATTATCAAAATGCAGTGCAATAGTTTAAATATCACAACAAAGTTTTTTATTTAAGAATTGTTTTAAATGAACAATCATTATTATTATTATCATTATTATTATCATCAGCTTTATTCAATATTATATTTTTGGTAGAATTCTCAGCGTAAAGTATTTCAACAAGTTTCCGTTTCTTTCTTCTTGGTCGGTCCTGGCGATAAATACTGAGTGATCACCAGTTAGATGTTAGCAGTTCAATAAATGAACATCTGAATAATGTGCTTTTCATCGCTGTATATTGCCAGCAACCACATTGGCTCTTATTGAGTTTTTTTGTAACTTTGACAACGAAAGGTTGTACACTTTTCAGAAACGCAGCAAAATAGGTCATGCGATTAATAAACATAATGATATATTAAAACAAATAAAAATAGATAACTTGTTGAAATATCTAGATGGCAGGAACAGGTAGCCCAGATGCTCAAGCAGACCGCCCTTATCATGGATGTTAACCAAATATACTCGCAAGCTTTTCATAAAAAGGTTTACAGTGAGGTGAATTACTTACAGCTAAATTCAAGTCAAACCTTTTTAAGCCTGCTATCGATGAGTGGCAGCTCTATACAATGCTGTTTACTTACAAGTTAACTGGATACAAAGGACGGAATATTGTTGCTATCGTGTATATATTTTAGCCAGATAATTTTTTCTTCATATCATCATCAAACACATAATACTGAACATAGTGAATACTACTATTGAATAAAAAAAATAACACCTACCACCCCTGAAACTTTTAACAATCAATTAATTGATTTTATCAGAACAATTATTTTTCTCAATAGTTTATGAATAATAATAATAATAATAATAATAATAATAATAATAATAATAATAATAATAATGACCGTTATGGTATACCTGATTTTTATCGACATATTCAATCAGATATTAGTAGAAAGATTAATAATAATAATAATAAGAGGGTATTCATTATTTTATTAAAATAGTTTTGAAAGGTTTGTCAGTCAATATCATTAAGTGTTTTATCATAACGAAGATACATACTTACTAACAGATCAATAGTAGTAACCATCGAAAGGGACACGAAAATTATCGACAATTTGTTAATTTGTACAAACTATTTCATATGTATATATATATGAGAATACTAAACAATACTTTCACCATTAAAATTATAAATGCATGTTTTATAATTTGTGTACACTTATTCAATGATTACAATTTATTCACATATTATCAAACAGGTTAAAAAGATGCACTGAATGCTGGAAATGACCTAAAAAGCGAATAGAATGATAGTTAATATTATTATTACAAAAAAACGGTACAGGGTATCGCTAATTATTTTGCTCTGGAATTAATCGATATAAACAAACTGACTAATTGGGTCATTAAAAGAAAAGAACAATGAATAAATTAAGACATGAAGGAAATAAAATAAAATTAACTGTACTAATTATAAGAATGTCTAGAATTGAAGAAAATCAAGAACCTTCATTATATAAATGAAGAGAAGGAGACTTATAGGTGAAAATCAATAAACTATTGTATACTTCTAACGTTATCACTAATAATCATCAGTAAAATACATCAAATATATGAATATTGAATCATTTTGTAGTAGAGTTGGTTAGTGTCTAGCAGTGGAATCCGGGAGACTCATTTCGTTCCGTTTGGGACATGTTAGCTGAATATACTAGCATCCTAGTGTTGATAATCACAGTGAAAAGCGAACCTAACACTTTTTGCTTTAAACGCCCATTGCGTTACCAATTTTGTTATTAAGTCCAGATAGCCAGAGGCTTGTGCTATGAGGTGACTTACAAATTATTTTCATTTGACTGAATCTTCTCAACCGATCAGTTGGAGTCTTTGACATCAACTAGAAGAAGATTTTACACAACCTTTACAAATAAGCTACTTTATGTTAATCTTTTATCTCTCTGTTTGCCAATAAAGCTTGAAATAGACATCAATATAGGATAAAAATAAACTAGAGATTATCAGAAAGACGATATCAAATAGATTATATCAATATTACTGACGTTTAGAACATACACACGTAATACTGTGGAACATTTCACTTTTGAAATGAGCTTTATTCATATTAACTAAATACAAATAGATGCATAGTTCATTAAAAATTAGAATATATCAATACAATAATCAAAGTATTTGTGATAACAGTTAAATTCCCAGTGGTACAACGACTTAAAAATCAGTTTTACATATCAATCACAGCTGAATACATAACTTTACAAGTTTATTAACCTTGTAAAGAATACAAATAGCAAAACTTCACATTCTTCCAGGTTTTCAATGGTAATTTAGCTTAGATTGACTCGTGAACTGAACTGTGAAAATACTACAATCTCTACATATCCCCTATACTGATAATAATCAGATATTATAAGTTATAAAAATAGAACAATATTTTCCACGTGAAAGAAACCTGTTTCGGTTGCTTTTTCACATTTTATTGTTATCAAATACTGCTACATCAAGCATTGTAGTCAAAACTTTCCTGTACGCATCTATACAGATTGAAACTTAACCCTATTATATACATTTGAACTATCAAATGATTTCATAACCATGAAAGTTTGATACATTTCTCTCCAGTTTAAGTTGTATTGCCCAAAACCTTTTGAAATCAAATGAATTTGAACATGAATTCTGTTTTTGGAATAATCTACACTTAACAACAACGTTGATTATCCAATGAAATATGTAGTAGCACTAAAAGAAAGTTCGTCAAATGATAAACGCCATTTATCAAAATAATTTTTTGTAAATGGTTATAGAAAAGTGATATATTTATTTACCGATTATTTTACCTAACCATTAAAACAAATTGAAATGTAATCAAAAGGAATTATTCAATAGAATAATGAATGTATGATGAAGAGTAACTAATTTCTATATCACTATTTATAGAAAAGCTAAGCAATTACCAGTTGAAGAACAAATGGTACTCAAAACAACTGTTTACGAGTATCAAAGTCACAATCTTCAATACAAACGTCAAGACAGTTCCACTATACGGGGGTGAAACTTGGAGAACTATCAAAATCATCATCAAAAATGTACAAGTACTTATAAACAATTGTCTACACAAGATACTCAATGTTTGTTGGCCGGATAACATCAACAAAAGTCTACTGTGAGAGAGGACAAACCAGCTTCCAGAAGGGAAGGACATAAGGAAAAGATGTTGGAAGTGGATAGGATATACATTAAGGAAATCATCAAACTGTATCACAAGGCAAGCCTTAGCTCGGAATTCTGAAGGAAAACGGGAAACAGGAAGACCAAAGAACACACTGCCAGTAGAACTGAAAGCAGATATCCTGTGTAACATTTAAATGATCCTTCATGGTAGACTGAATGAATTTGATTTCGTGAGCAAATGATTAGATGTGACCTCATCTATCTACTTCTTTCAATAATCACTTACTAGGTCAATTAAATCTGTTATAATCGCATGATTATTGACCAGCACACAGTGTACACATATCAATCTATAAATGTTTTGATTAATTACATGGTTCATAAACATGATAGGATATTACGAATGTTATGATTTTGCAACTGAATTATATATATATATATATATATATATATATTAAATAAAGCAAGTTTTCCTGGTCATGAAATACATATTTCGACTTCACTTCACGATAAAAAATATCTGAAAGGGTTTGTGGAGATTTTAGAAGTTTCACAGATTGAAATCATGAATCAATTGATGCGGGATCGTGGATGTGCACCGCTGAGGAGTCCCATACTAGGACGAAACGGCCGCCCAGTGCTTCCAGGTTTTCTATGCTAGTCTAGCTTCAATTGACTCATGATTTCAATCTGTGAAAAAAATATCTGTATAATAAACAAATTTAACAGAATATGTTCAATAACACATAATTCTGAAATGATTATGATTCATAGTTTCGATGAATGTCTTTTTTAATTAATAATAATAGTAATAATATTTTTATTTAACAACAAACATTTGATTATAATAAGGAACTTTCAGTACAAAATGCGAAATTATTGTAACCCAATCTCCTTTTTAAAAGTAGTTAACTTGTGAATCGAAAAAATATGTATAAAGTAAGTTTAAACAGTGATTAGCTTCCATTTGTAACTGATTATGAACAGTCTTGCTCTCATGATGACTTTAGATTATTGCCGAATATATTTGTTGTATGAATTTGTTCAGAAATGACTTTACATTTCTTTGAAAAGCAG